TCCGGTTTGGACCGGTTTTCACTAAAAAATGGAACTTGAACCGAAATTGCATATCGGTTCGGTTTGGACCGGTTTTGCCAAAAATCCAAACAGAAATCCGAACCAACCCGGACCTGTCCGGTTCCGGTTCCGGTTTTTGCTGGGCCCAAAATTTTATTTTTTACATTTTTTCCAGATCTGCCCAAAATGCATTTATATACTAAAATACCCAAAATTTGAGCTTCTATCAAGCTTTCAACACATAAAAATGAATCCAACTTCAATCTAACTTCAACAACATATAAATTACAACCCAAATTCAATCAAACTTTAGCAAAATAAATTCCAAAATAAATTACAAGCCAAATAAAACCCAAATTCAATCCAAATATATGTTACAACTCAAGTTCAATCCAACTTCATTAAATTCCTCCTTAACATTGAAAAGTAGCTGGAGCACACTTGGTAGGTGTGGATGAACTCATAATATCTACATAAAAAAACATAAACCCATTAAAACATTAGTCAAACATACATATTATATAGTACATTAATAAAACACATAAAATTACAAAGACATACCTAATTCAATCGATTCATAGAACTCCATCTCTTGAATTGTTGGCTCATATTGTAAAGAGGATATGTCATCCGACCTTAACCAATTTTGAGAGCAAATTAAGGCCTCCACAATCTTAGGAGTCAAAGAAGCACGAAATGAATTAACTACCCGACCACCCGTGCTAAAGCATGATTCCGAAGCCACCGTTGATACCGGGATGGCAAGCACATCCTTTGCAATAAGTGCCAACCCCGGATACTTAACCCCATTTAATTTCCACCACTTCAAAACATCAAATTCATCAACCACATCTTCAATAGGGTCGGTGATGTACCTATCAATCTCATGCTCCAATATCACAACATCATTTGCTCGAGTCTCTTTTCTCCAATTTTCATTCATTTGCCTCCGTTTCTTTCCCCCTCGGCTTAGGCTACTACTTGTATGCATGGTAGTAGTATCACTAAAACAATAACTACTACTTTGAGTGGATGGTGGTGGTGGTGGTGGTGGTGGCATGGCATACTCCTCATAAAGCTTCTTTAAAATCTCTTTGATCTCATTTTTCTTCTTAACTGCATCTTCCATATTTTCAAACCGACTCTTCAAGATAAACTCCAAATTCCCCAATTTGTATCAAGGGTCAAGAACAAGAGCAACCATCAAAATTTGGTTCAATTTATCAAGGTCACCCCAATACTTTTTAAATTTCATCTTCATGTTAAGTGCCATGTCCTTCAAAACCTTAGAGGTTTGGGTTTCACTTAATATTTCCTCCTCTTCCATCAACAAATCATCAATTTCTTCTTCTATTGCAATCAAATCATGAAATGTGGTGTGATCAAGTGACAATCATCTTAAATGTAGCATCATTAAATACCTTTAAAAAATTCACAAAGTTACGAGCATTGTTCCAATCCTCATTAGTTGGTGGCCCTTCCCTTTTTCTAGAGTAATGAGACATAACCACCCCATCTTCGTGATCCGGTTCATCTTCACCAAACCAAGAAATATATGGGCCTTCATCATCTTCTCCCATTCTCCAAAAGGCTTTTTCAAACTTTAAGGCGGCTTCCAACATCATATATGTGGAATTCCACCTAGTTGGCACATCCAACACCACAAGCCCTTTGCATTCAATTTGCTCCTTCTTCACACAACTCTTAAAGTCTTCTAACCTTTTGGGAGAAGATCTTACATACTTCACCGCATTTCTTATACACAATATGCTTTTGTCCAACTTCTTCAACCCATCACGAACTATCAAATTCACAATATGAGCACAACACCTAATGTGCATGTACTTTCCCTCTAATATAAGACTTCCATTTCCCCAATGACCCATTTTCGACTTCAAGTAATCTATGGCCTTTGTGTTTGAAGAAGCATTATCGGCCGTGATGGTTAGTCTCTTCTTCATATCCCAATCAAGCAAACATGACTCAAGGAGTTTACCAATTGAGTTCCCCTTGTGATTGGAAATGACACAAAAGTTCAATACTCTTTTGTGCAAGTTCCAATCACCATCTATGAAATGTGCCGTGATGACCATGTAATTTATGTTTTGAACACTTGTCCAAGTGTCCGTTGTGAGGCACACTCTATGAGGCGCTAATTCTTCTTTCAATTTTTGTTTCATGGCATCATACATTACCATGAAATGCCTCACAAGTGTCCTACGAGATGGCACTTGGAAATGGGGATTCAAAGAATTACAAAACCGCCTAAACCCTTTTCCTTCAACCACACTAAACGGCATCTCATCCATTACTACCATCTCTACACATGCTTTTAACCACTCTTCTTTACCATGCACTGTTGATGTAAGAACCCCATGATCTTGGTCAAAAGATAAGAGCTTTTGCCGTTTATCTTTAGGAACCCTCCCCGGATATTTCTTACATAGGTTTTCAATATGCTTCCTCAAATTTGAGGTCCCATTTCTAGTGGAGTCTGCCGCATAATTCATAGAGCAATACTTGCACCTAGCTCTCTTCTTAGTGGTTGCATATTTGCTCCCATCCTCTTTCACACTCTCAACCACATCTTCATATCTCTCAAAGTGGTCCCATACTTCCGATTTTTCTTTTCTTAGGCCGGAATGAGGTAATGGTGGAAGAGCATTTGATTGAGGTGGTGTTTGGGCATGAGGTGCACTTTGAGTTTGTGTTTGGGGTTGGGGTTGGGGTTGGGGTTGAGGGATGGGTAAAGTGGGTAAAGGTGTTGATGCGGATGCGGATGCGGATGTGGATACGGATGCG